TTCAGAGGAGGAAACCGAGGCTGGAGACTCGGAGGTGGACTCATACATCTGACCTGAAGTCACTGAGGTGGTTAAAGTTCCTCGGTGGTTCTGGAGGTGGATGATCTGCCCTGAGGATCTTAAGTCTCTGGTTGTGGGTCTTGTCTGACACATCTCTTCAACATCACGTGGAGGTCAGGGACAGAACCTCTGGACCTTCAGACCGGGGTGGAGGTCCCTCTGTAGAAGAAGAGGAAGGAGGGTGTGTTCCAACTCCAGGAGAATCACACTCCTCAGTCTCTCCGGTCTGTGTCAGGGACTGGAGAGGAGAATCGGGCTGATAGTCGAACCTCGGGTCCAGGAGGAGCAGTGTGGTTTTGGTCCTGGTCGTGGACACTGGACCAGATCTACACTCTCCATCGAGCGCTCGAGGTTCATGAGAGTTTGAACAGTCCACATGTGTTCGTGTCCCTCGTGTGTCCTGTGGGGGGCGCTCTGGGAGTCTGGGGTCCGGTCCCTGTGTGACCGGAGCAGAAGTTGTGTCTCTGCAGTGAGTCAGACCTGTTCCCGGTGCATGTTGGACTCCGCCAGGACCGCACCTGTCACCGGTTCTGTTCATTGTTTTTATGGACAGAGGTTCTGGGGCAGTTATGGGTTGGAAGGTCCGGTTTGAGGACCACAGGATCATCTCTGCTGTTCACAGATGATGTTGTCCTGTCGTCTTCATCACACCAGGACCTGCAGCTCTGGGGCGGTTTGACCCGAGTGTGAAGCGTCTGGATGAAGATCAGATCCTCCAAACCCGAGGTCCAGGTTCTGGACCTGAAAAAGTGTCTTGTCTCTGGGCGGGTGGAGAGTCTCTGCCTCAAGTGGACGAGTTCAAGTGTCTCAGGGTCTTGTTCTGGAGTGAGAGACTGACAGGTGGACAGGTGCAGCGTGTGCAGATTGACAGGTGGACAGGTGCAGCGTGTGCAGATTGACAGGTGGACAGGTGCAGCGTGTGCAGATTGACAGGTGGACAGGTGCGGTGTGGGCAGATTGACAGGTGGACAGGTGCAGCGTGTGCAGATTGACAGGTGGACAGGTGCAGCGTGTGCAGCACAGGTGGACAGGTGCGGTGTGGGCAGATTGACAGGTGGACAGGTGCAGCGTGTGCAGACTGACAGGTGGACAGGTGCGGTGTGGGCAGATTGACAGGTGGACAGGTGCAGCGTGAGCAGATTGACAGGTGGACAGGTGCAGCGTGTGCAGATTGACAGGTGGACAGGTGCAGCGTGTGCAGATTGACAGGTGGACAGGTGCAGCGTGAGCAGATTGACAGGTGGACAGGTGCAGCGTGTGCAGATTGACAGGTGGACAGGTGCAGCGTGGGCAGGTTGACAGGTGGACAGGTGCAGAGTGTGCAGATTGACAGGTGGACAGGTGCGGTGATGTGGTCGCTGTATCGGTCGTTGTGATGAAGAGGAGCTGATGTTCCTCCCCTCACCTCTGGTCATGACCTGAAGGACCAGATCCACGATACAAGAGACACAGATGAGTTTCCTCCGCAGGGCGTCCGGGCGTCTCCCTTAGACACAGAGGTCGGAGCTCGGAGTAGAGCCGCTGCTCCTCCACGTGGAGAGGAGCGTCTGAGGGGAGGACGTCTGTTCTGACGTCTCCTGGACGTGTCCCTCAGGAGGTGTTCATGTCCCACCAGGAGGAGAAGACCCAGGACACACTGGAGGGACCATGTCTCTGGACTGGACTGGGAACACCTCAGGTCCCACTGGAGGAGCTGGAGGAAGTGTCTGGGGAGAGGGGAGGCTGGGAGTCTCTGTTCAGACTGAAGCTCCAAGACCCGATCCCAGAGAAGAAGAAGAACATGGACGGACGTGTGACAGGGCATCTGACACAAAAGTCACCACAGACGCCCCGCCCACTTTGACCCAAGACACGCACCAACAACCAATCACAGCCAGAGGAAGAGGAGGAAGAGGAAGAGGAGGAGGAAGAGGAGGAGGAGGAGGAGGAGAGGAGGAGAGGAGGGAGGAGGAAGAGGAGGAGGAGAGGAAGAGGAGGAGGAGGAGGGAGGAGGAGGAGGAGGAGGAGGAGAGAGGAGGAGGAGAGAGGAGGAGGAGGAGGAGGAGGAGGAGGAGGAAGGAGGAAGGAGGAGGAGGAGGAGGAGGAGGAGGAGAGGAGGAGGAGGAGGAGAGGAGGAGAGGAGGAGAGAGGAGAGGAGGAGAGGAGGAGGAGGAGGAGGAGGAGGAGGAGGAGGAGAGAGGAGGAGGAGAGGAGGAGGAGAGGAGGAGGAGGAGGAGGAGAGAGGAGGAGGAAGAGGAGAGGAGGAGGAGGAGAGGAGGAGGAGGAGGAGAGGAGGAGGAGAGAGGAGGAGAGGAGAGGAGGAGGAGAGAGGAGGAGGAAGGAGGAGGAGGAGGAGGAGGAGGAGGAGGAGGAGAGGAGGAGGAGGAGAGGAGGAGGAGGAGGAGGAGAGGAGGAGGAGGAGGAGGAGGAGAGAGAGAGGAGGAGAGGAGGAGGAGGAGGAGAGGAGGAGGAGGAGGAGGAGGAGGAGGAGGAGGAGGAGGAGAGGAGGAGGAGGAGAGGAGGAGGAGGAGGAGGAGGAGGAGGAGGAGGAGGAGGAGGAGGAGGAGGAGGAGAGGAGGAGGAGAGGAGGAGAGGAGGAGGAGGAGGAGGAGGAGGAGAGGAGGAGGAGGAGGAGGAGGAGGAAGGAGGAGGAGGAGGAGGAGGAGGAGAGGAGGAGAGAGGAGAGGAGGAGAGAGGAGGAAGAGGAGGAGAGAGAGGAGGAGGAGGAGAGGAGGAGGAGGAGGAGGAGGAGGAGAGAGTGTGGATCAGACTGATAGAAGTGCGGCAGGAGGGAGCGAGGAGGAGGAAGAGGAAGAGGGGGAGGAAGAGGGGGAGGGCAGATGGGGTTTTGGGGGGGTGAGGGGGACACGCGCACACGCACACGCACGCGCATTCACACCTGAGCCCGCCCCCTGCGCGAGCCTCTGCAGCGCGCGCTCTCAGTCCGGACTTTGGACCAGACCCGGACCGCGCGGGGATCAGGATTTAACGGGACTTTTTCTGCTTCAGTTCCGACCTGGACTAAACCAGAACTAAACCGGGACTAAACCGGGACTAAACCTGGTCTAAACCTGGTCTAAACCTGGACTGAACCAGGTCTTAGTCCGGACTCTGCCTCTCCTCGGACTTGACCCTGGCTCTGGGCGCTTTTGTCTCGCTTTGGTCCGGTTTGGAGCACTTTTCTGCCGCAGAGCCGTGAGTCCGCGGCGCCGCTGCTCTGACCCGGGACCGTCCGCCTCCTCCCGGCTCGGACACGACTCCTCGGCCCGTGTCTCCGGCGTCTCCGGTCCGTGGGTCCGTGGGTCCGTGGGTCCGTGGGTCCGTGGGTCCGTGGTTCGGTTCAGTTTCCACACTCCTCTCTGTCCGTTCTCCGGTTTCACGCTCCGGCTGCGCGCTCACGCCGCTTTGACGCGTTCCCCGAGAATTTCTCGCCTCCCGCGGATCAGTCACACTGTCCTCACTGTGTCCACTGTGTCCACTGTGTCCTCACTGTGTCCACTGTGTCCACTGTGTCCTCACTGTGTCCACTGTGTCCACTGTGTCCACTGTGTCCTCACTGTGTCCACTGTGTCCACTGTGTCCACTGTGTCCACTGTGTCCTCACTGTGTCCTCACTGTGTCCACTGTGTCCACTGTGTCCACTGTGTCCACTGTGTCCTCCACTGTGTCCACTGTGTCCTCACTGTGTCCACTGTGTCCTCACTGTGTCCACTGTGTCCACTGTGTCCACTGTGTCCTCACTGTGTCCACTGTGTCCTCACTGTGTCCTCACTGTCTGTCTCACTGTGTCTCACTGTGTCCTCACTGTGTCTCTGTGTCCACTGTCTCCTCACTGTCTCACTGTCTGTCCACTGTGTCTGTGTCTCACTGTGTCTCTGTGTCCACTGTGTCTCTGTCTGTCTCACTGTCTGTCTGTGTCTCTGTGTCTCACTGTGTCCACTGTGTCTCACTGTGTCTGTGTCTGTGTCTCTGTCTGTCTCACTGTGTCTGTCTCACTGTCTGTCTCTGTCTCACTGTGTCTCTCTGTCTCTGTCTGTCTCTGTCTGTCTCTGTCTGTCTCTGTCTGTCTCTGTGTCTGTCTCTGTCTCTGTCTGTCTCTCTGTTGTCTCTCTGTTCTCTCTGTTGTCTCTCTGTCTTCTCTTGTCTCTCTGTTGTCTCTCTGTCTTCTCTCTGTCTCTCTGTCTCTCTCTGTCTGTCTCTCTGTTGTCTCTCTGTCTCTCTGTTGTCTCTCTGTCTTCTCTCTGTTGTCTCTCTTCTCTCTGTTGTCTCTCTGTTGTCTCTCTGTCTCTCTCTGTTGTCTCTCTGTCGTCTCTCTGTTGTCTCTGTCTTCTCTCTGTTGTCTCTCTGTCGTTCTCTCTCTGTCGTCTCTCTGTTGTCTCTCTGTCTCTCTGTCTCTCTGTCTTCTCTCTTGTCTCTCTGTCTCTCTGTTGTCTCTCTGTTGTCTCTCTGTCTTCTCTCTGTCTTCTCTCTGTCTTCTCTCTGTTGTCTCTCTGTTGTCTCTCTGTTGTCTCTCTGTTGTCTCTCTGTTGTCTCTCTGTCTTCTCTCTGTTGTCTCTCTGTTGTCTCTCTGTCTTCTCTCTGTCTTCTCTCTGTCGTCTCTCTGTTGTCTCTCTGTTGTCTCTCTGTTGTCTCTCTGTCTTCTCTCTGTTGTCTCTCTGTTGTCTCTCTGTCTTCTCTCTGTCGTCTCTCTGTTGTCTCTCTGTCTCTCTGTCTCTCTCTGTGTCTCTCTGTCGTCTCTCTGTTGTCTCTCTGTTGTCTCTCTGTTGTCTCTCTGTTGTCTCTCTGTCTTCTCTCCGTTGTCTCTCTGTCTTCTCTCTGTTGTCTCTCTGTTGTCTCTCTGTTGTCTCTCAGAGAACTGGACTTTGGGCTTGGGATTTTTTAATATATATTTTTTAAATTTACATTTATTATTATATTTTTAATTTCATTTTTTATTACAATTATTTTGTTTTTTATTATGTTTTATATTTTTTAATTTTTTTTTAATTTATTTATAATTTTTTTCATTATATCTATATTTTTTATTATTATTTAAATTCTTGCGCGTGCGGAGCTGCCGCGCGTGGCCCCGCCTCCTCTCTCCTCTGATTGGCTGATTGTTTGACTGGGACAGACCCTCCTGAGCCCTGATTGGCCCGTGGTGAGGTCATGCTGACGTCATGGCCCTGCCTCCTCTGCTGCTGCTGGTTGCCATGACGATCCCGGCTCAGGTACAACAACTCACCTGGAGACCCCCCCCCCCCCCCCACACACACACACACACACACACACAACCCCAACACAAAGTACTCTATGTAGTACTCTTGTGTAGTACTTTGTGTAGTACTTTGTGTAGTACTTTGTGTAGTACTTTGTGTAGTACTTTGTGTAGTACTTTGTAGTACTTTGTGTAGTACTTTGTGTAGTACTTTGTGTAGTACTTTGTAGTACTTTGTAGTACTTTGTGTAGTACTTTGTAATACTTTGTGTAGTACTTTGTGTAGTACTTTGTAGTACTTTGTGTAGTACTTTGTGTAGTACTTTGTGTAGTACTTTGTGTAGTACTTTGTGTAGTATTTTGTGTAGTACTTTGTGTAGTACTTTGTAGTACTTTGTGTAGTACTTTGTAGTACTTTGTGTAGTACTTTGTGTAGTACTTTGTAGTACTTTGTGTAGTACTTTGTGTAGTACTTTGTGTAGTACTTTGTGTAGTACTTGTGTAGTACTTTGTGTAGTACTGTTGTGTAGTACTTGTGTAGTACTGTTGTGTAGTACTTGTGTAGTACTGTTGTGTAGTACTGTTGTGTAGTACTTTGTGTAGTACTTTGTGTAGTACTGTTGTGTAGTACTTTGTGTAGTACTTTGTGTAGTACTGTTGTGTAGTACTTTGTGTAGTACTTTGTGTAGTACTTTGTTGTGTAGTACTTTGTGTACTTTGTGTAGTAGTACTTTGTGTAGTACTTTGTGTAGTACTGTTGTGTAGTACTTTGTGTAGTACTTTGTGTAGTACTGTTGTGTAGTACTTGTGTAGTACTTGTGTAGTACTTTGTGTAGTACTGTTGTGTAGTACTTTGTGTAGTACTGTTGTGTAGTACTGTTGTGTAGTACTTTGTGTAGTAGTAGTACTGTTGTGTAGTACTTTGTGTAGTACTTTGTGTAGTACTTTGTTGTGTAGTACTTTGTGTACTGTAGTACTGTTGTGTAGTACTTTGTGTAGTACTTTGTGTAGTACTTTGTGTAGTACTTTGTACTGTTGTGTAGTACTTTGTGTAGTACTTTGTGTAGTACTTTGTGTAGTACTGTTGTGTAGTACTTTGTGTAGTACTGTTGTGTAGTACTTTGTGTAGTACTTTGTGTAGTACTTTGTGTAGTACTTTGTGTAGTACTTTGTGTAGTACTTTGTGTAGTAGTAGTAGTACTTTGTGTACTTTGTGTAGTACTTTGTGTAGTACTGTTGTGTAGTACTTTGTGTAGTACTTTGTGTAGTACTTTGTGTAGTACTTGTGTAGTACTTTGTGTAGTACTTTGTGTAGTACTGTTGTGTAGTACTTTGTGTAGTACTTTGTGTAGTACTTTGTGTAGTACTTTGTGTAGTACAGTGAATATTTGACACGTGTTCGACAGATTTTACAGAAACCTCAAAGAAACTCAAACAGGAAGAAACATGTGGACCTGATTTAAACCAGACCAGGACTAAAACTGGACCAGACCAAGACCAGACCAAGACCAGACCAAGACCAGACCAAGACCAGACCTGGACTAAACCAGGACTAAACCAGGACTAAACCAGGACTAAACCAGGACTAAACCAGGTTTTTCTCTGTGATGGTTTTGGCAGGTGCTGAGTTCAGAGACGCTCCAAAGAATCCGACGTTTCGCCATCAACCCCCTGGGACATAAGTGGGACCACCACAACCTCACCTACAGGTCTGGACCAGGACCAGGACTAAACCAGGACTAAACAGGACTAAACCAGGACTAAACAGGACTAAACCAGGACTAAACAGGACTAAACCAGGACTAAACCAGGACTAAACCAGGACTAAACAGGACTAACCCACCACAACTTCCCTGGTCTAAACCTTGGTTTGTGTCTGTTCTCTTGCTGCTCTGGTCTTGGTCTGGGTCTGGGTCTGGGTCTCAGTCTCTCGGCCTCTCAGTCTCAGTCCCTTGGTCTCTCTCTGGTCTCAGTCTGGATCTCGGTTTCTTGGTCTCTGGGTCTCAGTCTGGGTCTGGGTCTCAGTCTGGGTCTCAGTCTGGGTCTTGGTCTCGGTCTGGGTCTCAGTCTGGGTCTCAGTCTGGGTCTGGGTCTCAGTCTGGGTCTGGGTCTGGGTCTCAGTCTGGGTCTGGGTCTCAGTCTGGGTCTGGGTCTCAGTCTGGTCTCAGTCTGGGTCTCAGTCTGGGTCTGGGTCTCAGTCTGGGTCTGGGTCTCAGTCTGGGTCTTGGTCTCATCTGGGTCTGGGTCTCAGTCTGGGTCTGGGTCTGGGTCTGGGTCTGGGTCTGGTCTCAGTCTGGGTCTCAGTCTGGGTCTCAGTCTGGGTCTTGGTCTCAATCTGGGTCTGGATCTCAGTCTGGGTCTCGGTCTGGGTCTGGGTCTCAGTCTGGGTCTGGGTCTCGGTCTGGGTCTGGTCTCAGTCTGGGTCTGGGTCTCAGTCTGGGTCTGGGTCTGGGTCTCAGTCTGGGTCTGGGTCTTGGTCTCTCGGTCTCAGGATCGTGGCGTTCCCGAGGAGCCTGAACCAGGACGACACTCGTAAAGCTCTGAGTTTGGCCTTCACCAAATGGAGCGACGTTTCACCTTTGACCTTCACCGAGGTGTGGGCGGGGCCTGCTGACATCACCATAGGTACGACCAATCAGAGCACAGCACACAAGTTTAAAGTGTGTTCATGTTCAGGGATTTAAAACATTTATAAAAGAAAATCCAGGTTCAACTACACAGAACAACACAGTAAACCCGTATAGAGCGGGTATAGACCAGTATAGACCGGTATAGACCGGTATATAGAGCGGTATAGAGTCGGTATAGACTGGTATAGAGCCGGTATAGAGTATAGTATAGAGCGGTTATAGAGTGGTATAGAGTGGGTATAGAGTGGGTATAGACCGGTATAGACCGGTATAGACCGGTATAGACCGGTATAGAGCGGTATAGAGTGGGTATAGACTGGTATAGAGCGGTATAGAGTGGTATAGAGCGGTATAGAGTTGTATAGAGCGGTATAGAGTGGGTATAGGCGGGTTTGGTGGTGTTTGGGGATGTTTTGTTGTCGTCTGACGTTTCAGTCGTGTTTTGCCGCAGGGTTCTACACGTTTAACCACACTGACTGCTGGGTGGCGCCGTTGCACCCGTGTTTCGATGGTCTGAACGGCGAACTCGCTCACGCCTTCCTCCCACCGCGAGGAGAAATCCACTTCGACAACCACGAGTTCTGGATCCTGGGAAAGTCCCGCTTCAGCTGGAGACAAGGTACCGAGCCAGGACTCAAACCGGTCTACAGGGGGTCTACAGAGGGTCTACAGGGTTTCTACAGGAGGTCTACAGGAGGTCTACAGGAGGTCTACAGGTGGTCTACAGGAGGTCTACAGGTGGTCTACAGGAGGTCTACAGGAGGTCTACAGGAGGTCTACAGGTGGTCTACAGGAGGTCTACAGGAGGTCTACAGGAGGTCTACAGGTGGTCTACAGGTGGTCTACAGGAGGTCTACAGGAGGTCTACAGGAGGTCTACAGGAGGTCTACAGGAGGTCTACAGGGGGAGGTCTACAGGAGGTCTACAGGAGGTCTACAGGAGGTCTACAGGAGGTCTACAGGAGGTCTACAGGAGGTCTACAGGTGGTCTACAGGTGGTCTACAGGAGGTCTACAGGGGGTCTACAGGAGGTCTACAGGGGGTCTACAGGAGGTCTACAGGAGGTCTACAGGGTTTCTACAGGTCTACAGAGGGTCTACAGGGGGTCTACAGGAGGTCTACAGGGGGTCTACAGAGGGTCTACAGGAGGTCTACAGGAGGTCTACAGGGTTTCTACAGGAGGTCTACAGGGGTCTAAGTCTACAGGGGGTCTACAGAGGGTCTACAGGGGTCTACAGGAGGTCTACAGGGGTCTACAGGGGTCTACAGGAGGTCTACAGGGGTCTACAGGGGGTCTACAGAGGTCTACAGGGGGTCTACAGGGGGTCTACAGGAGGTCTACAGGGGGTCTCTACAGGACAGGTCTACAGG